TCTCTCACCTCCCAAGAGGTCTGAGTTTCAGCTCCACGGGGCTCCTCCAGCAAGCTTCTAAACCCTGACAATTCTAACCATCTCCCTCTGTCCCTCCCCCTAGGAGTGGTCGCTGCTTCATGAAACTGCCATCTCTGGGATCCTTCAGAGTTCTTTTTCATTTCTGAAGTTACCCAGTTACTAATTCTTCATATTAAATTCTCTCTGTTCAGATAACTGAAGTGATTTCTATCTTTAGACTGGATCCTGACTGATGCATTCCCCATCCAGGGAAAGGTCTGGTTTTTTCCTTTTCAGTTATAGGTTTAAGAGAGTAAAATCTATTAATTACTCTAAGAGGATGAGGGAAGGGGTGGACAGATTCAAAGATAAATCTATGGGGATAGAATATTGTATCCTGCCCACAACCATTAAAAATCATGCATGTGGGCCGGCCCTGTGGCTTAGCGCGTGCTCCGCTCTTGGCAGCCCGGGTTCAGATCCTGGGCACGCACTGAGGCACCGCTTCTCCGGCCATGCTGAGGCCGCGTCCCACATATAGCAACTAGAAGGATGTGCAACTATGACATAAGGATGTGCAACTATGACATACAACTATCTACTGGGGCTTTGGGGAAAAAAAAGGAGGAGGATTGGAAATAGATGTTAGCTCAGAGCCGGTCTTCCTCAGCAAAAAGAGGATGATTAGCATGGATGTTAGCTCAGGGCTGATCTTCCTCACAAAAAAAAAAAAATCATGCACATGAAAAATTTTTTATTAACATGGGAAAATATATTTACATGAAGAACAAAGGTTAAAAACTGCTTACAGAATGACACCAAGGATGAAAGAAATACATGGAAGGATAAACACTAAAATGTTACTGGTGCTCATGTCTGGTGGTGGGATTTTATTTTATTTTCTTCTTCATGGTTTTATATTATATTTCCCAAATTTCTATAGTATTTTTTTTTTTTTTTTTTTTGCTGAGGAAGATTTGCCCTGAGCTACCATCTGTTGCCAGTCTTCCTCTTTTCTCGCTTGAGGAAGATTAGCCCTGAACTAACATCTGTGCCAATCTTCCTCTAGTTTTTGTATGTGGGTTGCCACCACAGCATGGCTGATGAGTGGTGTAGCTCCATGCCTGGGATCCAAATGTGAGAACCCAGGCCACCGAAGTGGAGCACACTGAACTTAACCACTACACCACTGGGCTGGCCCATATAGTAATTATTTTTTATTTTATTTTATTTTATTTATTTATTTCCCCCAAAGCCCCAGTAGACAGTTGTACATCATAGTTTCACATCCCTCCAGCCACTGTACGTGGGACGCGGCCCCAGCATGGCCGGAAAAGCGGTGCGTCGGCGCACGCCCGGGATCCAAACCCGGGCCACCAGCAGCGGAGTGTGCGCACCTTACCGCTAAGCCACGGGGCCGGCCAATTAGTAATTGTTTTTATAAAAAGGCAAAAAAAAGTTTTTAAAAACCCAGATAAGAAAATTGGAATCTATAAATGGGCCTCCTGTATCAGCCAACTGTGGTATGAGAGGGTCACAAAAAAATCACTCACTCAGGGTCGTCCTGAAAGTCCTGGGGTTCTGCCAACTCGTCATACTCAGCTGCTGCATCCTTGCCAGCTAAAACGAGCTCTTTGGGAGGCACCACCACCTGGAGAGCAACACAGAGATGCCTGCCTCAGAAGGGATCGGTGTGTTGTAGGACACTCATTCAACAGAATACAGTAAAGTATTACATTGATCTAGACACAGAAGTAAGCAGCAAGTTTCAAGATGCAGTATTATATCACTTACATTAGGTTTAAAAACACATTGTGCAGGAATACAGACATTTCTAGCAAAAATATAAGAACAATGAAATTTAAGGTAATGATAAAGTGAAGTGAGTGCTTACTTCATTGGGGCTGCACTGGGGAATTCAAGTGGGGAGGACATGGGGGCTTCAATTGTGTCTTTAATGTTTTATTTCTTAAGGGGATTGGGTACATGGGTGTTTGCTATATTATTCTTTCATACTCTGTGGTATATCTGAAACAGTTCATCATTTTTTCAAAAAAGAAAAACAGAAAGGAAAAACACTGGTTCCAACATAATCTTTTCTGAAATGGGGATGCTGAGTATGTTTATGGTCATGGAAAACAAACATTCTTCAGACTTATCCTTATGTTGCAACTAGGCCTCAACTTTGCCATGTTAGAGTTTAACAGATAACAATGTAAACCACATTTCTCATTATGGATACAAATGTGGCTGGGGAGCTATCAAGAGAGAGAAAGACAGCAAATCCACAAGCTGGGTATATACATTATATACATTACACACTTATTTCTCTATCCTCACTGGAACAGCTTATTAGTGTTATTAAAAAAGGAGCACAGACAGATGAGTGTCATCTCTCTTTGGAAGTGATGTTAGTAAATGAAATCATTGAACAGCAGAAGGAAAAAAGAAAAAAGGGATAAAGCAATTCTCTACTACTATGTATTTGAATAATGGCTAATTAAAGATATAGGCATCCTTTCTACCAATTTCTGCTGTATCATGCTGAATTATGAGTTAGTAATAGATGGTCTATAGAGAAAAGTTCTTGATCTGAAATTTCAAGGACTAGATGAATCACCAAGTAGCCAAATGTAGAAAGGCCACATTTCATTCAACTAAAACTGAGAATCAAAATCTCCTTTTTTAATATTTAGTTAGTGCTATGTATACTCTATGTAAGCAGAGGGCATGTAGAGGAGGCATACCGCTTTTAAAAGGAGAGGTTATTTCCTATGAGTCTTGAAAAATGAGAAGGCATTAGACTGAAAGAGAGCTGTGGACATGTATGTCAGGGGAGTGGGATAGGAAGGAGCATTCTAGGTAAAACAAATAGCATATGCAATTCTCCAGCATGAAAGTTCACAACCCATTGGATCTCCTTGGATACAACCATTAATATGTACGATTCAGAGAATGCTAGATTTGGGGGTCTGGGGGAAGATCATCCCGGAAGAACAAATAGAGGTGAGAGCATTAAGGGGCTCTTATGCTAGGCCAAGGAATTTGGATTTCATCCCAAAGTCAGAGAGACGGCAAATGATCCGCATGCCATGATCAAAGTTAGATTAGAAAGGTCACCCTGGTGGCAAGACTGGAATGGAAGCAGCGGTGGACTAAAAACAGTGAAGTCAGTCAGGAAGTTACTGTGACAGTCCAGGTGAAAAATGAACCTTCAAACAGGGCAGTGGCAGTGTGTTTGTGGATAAAGTAAAAAACTTAGGAGGTGGAATCAAAAGAACTTGATGACTGCTTGGATGTGGAAATGAGAGACAGTGTGGAGTCCTTTAAGCCTCAAATGAGGTCACTCCAGGAAAAGTCAGGGTCAGTCAGGATGAGGCAAAATGCTCCTACCTTTGCAGTGCTGTTGATGTTATCAGGGTCCCCCTCCTCGCACTCCAACAGTGTCACGTGGGTGAGGTTCTCCACTGGATTCGTAAGAGTCAGGAGGACCTGGCTCTCCTGTTGAACAGGAAAAGCACCTCTCAGACATGTTCCACTACTGCCACCGAGGTCCACTTTCTTAGTTGCTGTATCAAATATTTCACAAGATCATCACCCACCCAACGCCCAGTTACTCCTGAGCAATAACACCCACCCATACCTCCACATCCATTCTCAAAGTGCTCACTGATTCCTAGCCTGTTATTTATATGTTAGGCCACATATTCTCTGGAGTTGCTATTTCATTGAGGAAATGGGACGGATCCCACAGAAAGGGCCAGTTACGAGATCCAGAAATTCTGAGGAATGTACATTATCTAAGCAATTACTTAAAGTTTACCACTCTTGCTCCACCCAGTCCTCCACTTAAGAACTGAAAAGCAGGAAGCCCTCATAAATAAAATATGGGAGCCACAGGCTAGCCAGATGTAGTAACATAGGAAAAACGGTACATAAGACTGTAAAAGACTTTTTAAGATTTCTTGAATCATAATTTGCCCTTGTTTGGTACTCTCTTGAGATTAGCAAAAAAACCTTTAAATGAACAGGGACTGTATAAATGTCTTCATGAGCAGCATGAAAGGATAGAACTAAAGAGGCTGCTGTAGAATATTCTACAATTCATTAGGGGGTGTGTATGGGAGGAAGGGGCACAGACAAGAACCTCAAAAGAGAGGGGCTATGGTAAAGAAGAAATCTAGCTGATTCCTGATATCTGATACATATACACACGAGATGGTGGAGAATCTCCTGGCAGGAGAAGAGCTAAAGATGCCTGTGGGGTCCAACATCTTCTCCTTCCTTTTCCCCACCCATGATTCCATCTCTATATAACGTGCATACTGCTCCTTCTGTATATATTACAAAGATGCTGTTGTCAAGAATCCCAGTTTAAAGAAATTTAAAATCTCAATCCCTTTATTATTCCGAACTTTCTTCTTTTCTATCCCTCGCTCATTGCATCCCATGCCAAACACACAAAGCCACCCACATACACGTATGCATACATCTCTGGATCAATGAATTCTTTCTCTTCCTGCTGATAAGCAAAGTACTAACCTTCATGTAGCGAAGGTTGGGAATTGACATGATTCTCACTTCTGGGATATAATTGCTATGCAAGAATAAAAAAATGCATTAACGTTCACTGGAGTCTCTTAAAAATTATTACTTTTTTTTTTTTTTTAGCTAGTGCAGCAAAGATTTCTTCATGTTAATTAGAACATGTCAGAGAAAATGAATTTTAAAGAATCATATTATCACCACAATAAGAACTTAAGACAAGACATGAAACCAAACTGGTAATGAGTTCTTTCTGAAATCTTACATATACTTTTAGTTTAGAGCCTATATATGTGTGTGTATCATGGCAGATATCTTCCTTATATACTTATTAGATATATTTTTGAGATTTTATTAATTTCTGTAAATCTAAAAGGCAACTGGTTATAAGATCCAAGACTGATTTAATAATACATTGTAGGGGTGTAAAAACACTACCACATATTTACCAAACACTTCTATACAGCACTTACTATACGCCAGGCAATGTTTTAAGCACTTTACAAATATTACCTCATTTAATTTTCACTGCAACTGCATGAAACAGATATTATTATCATCCCCATCATAAAGATGAAGGAACTAGGCTCGGGAGGAGAAGTAACTTACTGCTAAGTGGCCAGGATTCAAACTCAGGCAGCGTGGCTCCAGGGTCCCTGCTCTTAACCATTACGTTATGCTGCCTCTCTAAACAAAACTGAGTGTTGTACTTATGTGTGCTTGTTCTGGACTCAAAACTTCCCAGGTTGAAATCCCAGGTTTTAATGTTTATATACCAACATATTTCTTTGTAAAGACCAGCACAAGATATTTACCTCTTTGTGCCTTGGTTTTCTCAATTATAAAACAAGGACAGTAAGAGTATCTATATCTTTAAGTTATTGTGAAGAATACTTAAATAATACATGCAAAAAAGTGCTCAGAACAAAGCAGGCATAAATGTTAGTTACTAAGCATATATTAACATAAGACAAAGTCTATTGCAGAAACACTGAAAGGGCAGGGCGGGGAGTGCACCTCAGAACTGAGGCAATAAGGTACTTTAACTTCAGACTAGGTAATTTTCATGCTCGTCATCAGCAATACCTGAGTAACTTAACACCAATTCAAGGGCCCTACTATCAAGGATTTGGATTTAGCAGGTGTGATGTGTGGCCAGACCATCTGTATCAAGATTCCCAGGCAATTCTGCCATCATGTCAGAAAAAAGTACTTTTTCTCAAAGCAAGCTTCAGAAATTAATGCTAAGCACATCCTGTCATTCAGGGTTTCTGTAATGAGTATAATTCTTAAGTAAGAAAGGCATTCATACCACACTTCACATGTATCATTTTTGTAGTTCTGTTCCTTCCTAACCAGCTACATATTAAATAAGAGTAGTTGGGTAAACAGAACATATTTTATGGCGATTTACAGTTATAAAGCATTTGCAAACATAATAGCTCATTTGATTTTTCTCAACAACTGAGAGGGAGGCAGGACTGATATTATTCCCATTTCAGATATAAGGGAAATAAGTTTAGACAAACAGAGTGACAGACCTCATACCTGGCCCTTCTAGTTCCTTCCTCCTAACTCACCAGACCAGAGCTTCTCAACCTTTTGCCTACCAGTAATTTCTTTTTTTAATTGCTGCATAATATTCTACAGCACTAGTGTATCTCAATTTAAAGAACTATTTCTTTATTAATGGTTAACCAGCTTGACATTGAAATTGTTTCCAGCTTTTTGCCATTAAAATGTTGCAATATGCATCCTTATAAATGTATCTTTACATACCGGTGCTTTTGTTTCTACAGAACAGATTCTTGAAACAGTACTGCTGGGTTAAAAGGTCTATGTAATTTTGTCTTGGTATTCCAGACCACTCTCCAAAAAGACTCTAGCAATTCACAAGCCTACCAACAATATATGCAAATATGTTTACCCACACTCTCACGAGCACTAGATGCTATTTATTTTTTACAACTTTTCCTATCAGGTCTCAGCATCTTTCCATATATTTCCCAGCCATTTGGAATTCCTCTTCTGTGAGCTGCCTGTTCAAATCCTTTGCCTCACCTCATCTCCCCTCCGTTTTTATCTTTCTGATTTGTGGGAATTTTGCATTCCAGGGATATTAAACTTTTATTTGTCATGCAGTGGCAAACATTCTTTCCTGCTCAACCGTCTGTCTCAGGACTTTGTTGTCAATGTTTTTTTTCTACAACTCACGTTTTTTTTTGCTAAGGTCAAAGCTGTCTATTTTCGTTAGTGGCTTCTGGGCTTCCTGCCTTGCTTGTGAAGGGCTCTCACTCTCAAGTCAAGAGAATATTTTCCTAATTTTTCAAAATATTTTTCTTGTTTGATAGGTAATTTTCATACACAAAATTTTCTTCTACTGACGAGTCCCAATGAGTTAACACTAAATCACTTCTATCCCACTCAATGAAGTGTTATTAGAAACAGTCAAATAAAATGAGCCTTGTTACAGGAATACTCTTCAATCTGCTATACTGTGTTTATTATTTTTTACTTTAATTTTTTAAAAGATCATTCCAAACTTGGGTATATTTTATAATTTGTAATGAATTTGTAATTTATAATTTGTAATGAATTTTATAATTTGTCATGAATGACTAGTGACTCTCCATCCAATACCACATTGCCACATACCATACTATCATGTGTCCCTGATACAAACACGCACCCCAGATTGTCTATAGATTTGCCTTAAAATTCATGGTATGTAATTCAAAACCTTAACAGGAAGAGAATAGCAAGATTATTCTGATGTAGTTTTTTTCTTTTTTAAGCCAAGAGTAAGCACATTTCACATCGGAAAAAACAAAACCAAGGGGCCGGCCCCGTGGAGTAGTGGTTAGGTGTGTGCGCTCCGCTGCTGGCAGCCCGGGTTTGGATCCCGGGCGCACACTGACGCACTGCTTGTCAGGCCAGGCTGTGGCGGTGTCCCACATAAAGTAGAGGAAGATGGGCACGGATGTTAGCTCAGGGCCAGTCTTCCTCGGCAAAAAGAGGAGGATTGGCATGGATGTTAGCTCAGGGCTGATCTTCATCGCAAAAAAAAAACAGAAAAACAAAACACAAAAACAAACAAAACCAAAAAAAAAACAAAACCAATAAAACAGTAACCAAACACACCAATCCCAAAATACTTACACAGCAACCAGCTGGATTTTGAATTTGATAGATGTTGGATTAAATTCTGGCTTGCTCAAATTATGTTCACATTTCTAAAAAGAAAAAAATACATATCAGAGGAAAACAAGTACTCTGCTGATCCATAGAGCTGTGAAATTCAGACGGATGGCATTTACTAGAGTTTTATTTTGCTGCTAGACCACATATGTTTTGAAATAGAATGTATGCTACTGATAACCAAAATATATAAAAGAAGATGTTTTGGACTTCTGGACATAAGCAACCACACTATCAAATATTATACCTTTGCAGTGCTTTAAAACTACCGAAATAATAAAACTAACACATACTGAGTGTACTTACTATGTGTGCTGAACAATGTGGATTTTGCTGATTTTTCTTCTTTGTTTTCTTTTAAAATTGATCTTTTTCTTTCCTCTCTACTAGCCTAAAAGGTATACATTCTTGGTTTAAGTGGGTTTAAACATCAGAGACTTTATGAAGTAGGTGTGGGTACTATAACTATTACTGTCCCCATTTCACAGATGATGAAAATAGGGCACAAGAAGGGTAAGTATTCTGTGCAACTTCACAGAGCCAATAATTGGAGCTGGGATTTAAATCCAAGAAGTGTGATTCCAGATCTCATGCTCTAAAATACAGTAATAATTATTTACTTATTTCTTGAATGGGTACTACATGCACCCAGTTAAAAAAATTTTTTAAAGAGTACCAAGAACAGACAGCATAAATATACCCCCCGTAACTTGTCCCCTCGTTCCTCCCCAGAGCCAACCAGCTTCTCACGTGTTTTCCCATAGATAGCCTATGCACATACAAGCATATGCATACATCACCTTGCTTTTTCACAACACAAAAGGAAAAATTTATATGATCTTCTGCCCTTTGCTTTTTTCACTTAATCTATCTTGGAATTCCATACCAGCACACACAGAGGTACCTCTGTATCCTACTGCAACAATTTCTTTAACTTATCTAACTAGACCTAAATTGATGGATGTTTCCATGATTTTGCTACTACAAATAACGCAGCGATGAGTATTCCTGTATATGAATCATTTTGCACATGTGTAAATGTATCTGTAAGATAATTTCCTAAAAGTAGATCACGGGGTGCATGCATTTGTTATTTTGACAGATACTATTAACCTTTGCCAATCTGATGATTATGAAATGGTATCTCACTGTAGTTTTAAAGTACATTTCCCTGATAACTGTACAATTTTGAGTATCTTTGCTATCTATTGGGTATTGAGATTTCCTCTGCCATGACTTGTACCCTAGTATCTACTGGTTATTTTTAACTAGGATATCTTTTCCTTACTAATTTGCTAAAGTTCTTTAAATATCCTGGATACTAATCCTTTGTTAATTATATACCTTACAAATTACTTTTCTCAGTCTATGGCCTATCTTTTCATTTCTTTATGAGTTTTCTTTGAAGTGGGGGTACAAGTTTTACTTTCAATGTACTTATCAAATACATAACTTTTCCTTTATAGTTTGTGCTTATTTGCCTTATGGAATACTCCTCTACCCAGAAGTCACAAAGATATTCTCCTATATTTCTTTCTAGAAGTTTTGCTCTTCATATTTACTCTTTAAAGTTTCCAATGTTCCTGAAATTGACTTTTGCGTACGGTGTGAGGTAGAGACTCAATTTTATTTTTTTTTTCATATAATCACTTGACCTAGCAAAATTTAATATGACCTTCTTTCCCCAATGATCTGCAATGCCATATTTAGTAAAATCAAGTTTCTTCACACGCATGAGCCTATTTTGCTTTCTCTATTCTGTTCCAATAGTCTATTAATCTAACATATGCATATATTGTTTATGGTTATATATACATGATTTTCCCTCCTTTCTTACACAAAAAGTTGTGTACTTGCCAGGCACCCTGCTTTTTGTATTTAAAAACATATCCCATATCAGTACATTATTTTTCATAGATTTATAAAACTCATTGTGTGGATGTACCCTAATCTCTGCATATTTTGGTTTGTATTTGTAGAGGTATACCTCTATATTTAGGGTACACTCCTAGAAGTGAGGTCGATGGGTCAATAGGACACTGTTTATTTACTCTTGGTAGATAGCACTACAAATTTTTATTAATTTAATTTATATATTAATATTTATTTACTATCATTAATCTTTTTAAAGGAATCAATTTTTGGTTTTGTTATTCTTTTGTAGTTTATATTGGTTTCTTAGTTTGTTAATACTTACTCTTCCTTCTAGTTTCTTTGGACTTTGTTGTTCTTTTTCTAACTTCTTTTTTTTTTTTGTGTGTGAGGAAGATTAGCCCTGAGCTAACATCCATGCTAATCCTCCTTTCTGCTGAGGAAGACCGGCTCTGAGCTAACATCTATTGCCAATCCTCCTCCTTTTTTAACCCACAGCCCCAGTAGATAGTTGTATGTCATAGTTGTACATCCTTCTAGTTGCTGTATGTGGGACACGGCCTCAGCATGGCCGGAGAAACGGTGTGTCGATGCGCGCCCGGGATCTGAACCCGGGCTGCCGCTAGCAGAGTGTGTGCACTTAACCACTAAGCCACGGGGCCGGCCCCTCTAACTTCTTGAAATGGGTGCTGAGATCACCGATCTTTTAACATTTCTTCTTTTTTTTTTTAATTTTTTATAATTTTATTTATTTATTTTTTCCCCCAAAGCCCCAGTAGATAGTTGTATGTCATAGTTGCACATCCTTCCAGTTGCTGCATGTGGGACGCGGCCCCAGCATGGCCGGAGCAGCAGCATGTGGGTGCGTGCCCGGGATCCGAACCCGGGCTGCCAGCAGCGGAGCGCACGCACCCAACCACTAAGCCACGGGGCCAGCCCTAACATTTCTTCTTTTATAATATATATATCTAAGAATGGCTTAGTTTCATCCTACAAGTTTTGCTATAGAGAAATCACTGATTTCTAACTTAATTGCATTGTGATAAAATATTTTAATAATGTCATCTTTTGAAAAATGTTGAGTTATACTTTATAACACAGTATATAATTTTTATAAGTGTCTGTGTATACTTGCAAAGAATGTCTATTCTGCAGATATGGTGTACAGTGTTCCACGTATGCCATTAGGTCAAGTTTGCTAGTTGCACTGTTCAAATGTTCTACATCCTTATTGATTTTCATCTGTTTGTTTTCTCAGTTACTGAGAGAAGTATGTTAAATTTTCCATATATTAATGTCATTTTCTCAAATGCTGCTTTATATATTTTGAGTCTATGTTATTTAGTGTATACAATTTTAGAACCATTATATCCTCTGTGAATTAAATCTTTTTTCCTTTTTGAATTCTCTCTTCTTTAAAAAATTAGTGTTTGCACAATGTATCTTTTCCCATCTATCTTTACTTTCAATCTTTCTGAATTCTCATGTTTGTGTTTCTTGTAATCAGCATATAGATGGCGAGTTGCATTTTGTTCATTTTCAAATTTAGTCTGATAATCTGTCTTTTAATGGAAGCATTTAGTTCATTGGTAGTTAATGTAAATACTGATATATCTGGCTTTAAATCTACTAACTTACTGCATGTTTTCTATTTGAATCACTGGTTCTATGTTCCTTTCCTCTCACTTTCTTTCTTTCTGTAGATAGACTTTATCAAGTTGAGAAAGTTCCCCTCTATTCCTAGTTTACTGAGAAAAAATTTTTTTTTTATCATGAATGTGTACCGGATTTTGTTAAATGCTTTTCCTGCATCTATTGATATGATCATGTGATTTTCCTTTTTCAGTCTGTTGATGAGATGGATTGCACTAATTGATTTTTGAATGTTGAACCAGTCTTGCATCCCTAGGATAAATGCCACTTGGTTGTGGTGTATAATTTTTTAAATACATTTTTGGATTTGAGTTGCTAATATTTTGTTGAGGATTTCTGCATCTATGTTCATGAGAGATATTGGTCTGTAATTTTCTTTTAATGTCTTTGTCTAGTTTTAATATTACCATAATGCTGGCCTCAAACAACAAGTCAGGAAGTATTCCCTCTACTTCTATCTTCTGAAAGACATTATAGAGAATTGGTATAATTTCTTCCTTAAATGTTTGGGAGAATTCAACAGTTAATATACCTTGGCCTGGTGCTTTCTGTTTTGGAAGGTTATTGATTCAATTTCTTAAGTAGATATAGGACTATTCAGATAGTCTATTTCTTCTTGTGTGAATTTTGGCAGATTGTGTCTTTTAAGGAATTGGTCCATTTTTCTAGCTTATCAAATTTTGGGGCATAGAGTCGTTCATAGTATTCTTTTATTATCCTTTTTATTTCCATGGATCTGTAGTGATGTCCCCTCTTTCATTTCTGATATTAGTGATTCATGTCCTCTCTGTTTTTCTTAGTTAGCCTGTCTAGATGCTTACTGATTTTATTGATATTTTCAAAGAACCAGCTTTTGATTTCATTGTTTTTCTCTACTGATGTCATTGATTTCTGTTCTAATTCTTATTTCTTTTCTTCTGTTTACTTTGGATTTAATTTGCTCTTCTTTTTCTCATTTCCTAACATGGAAACTTAGATTATTGATTTTAGATCTTTCTTCTTTTCTAATATATGCATTCAATGCTATAAATTTCCCTTTAAGCGCTGCTTTTGCTGCATTCCCAAATTTTAATAAGTTGTGTTTTCATTTTCATTTAGTTCCAAATATTTCTAAATTTCTCTTGAGATTTCTTTTTTGATCCACGTTACTTAGAACTGTGATGTTTAATCTCCACATATTTGGAGATTTTTCCAGTTGTCTATTATTGATTTCTAGTTTAATTTCACTGTGATCTGACAGCAGATATTTTATGGCTTCTATTCCTTTAAATTTGTTAAGGTGTTTTTTATGGCCCAGAATGTAGTCTATCTCAGTGAATGTTCCATGTGGGCTTGAGAAAAAAGTGTATTCTGCTATTGTTGGACGAAGTAGTCTATAAATGTCAATTATATCCAGTGATTGATGGACATAATTGAGTTCAACTATGTTTTTACTGATTTTCTGCCTGCTGGATCTGTCCATTTCTGAGAGATGGGTGTTGAAGTCTCCAACTATGATAGTGGATTCATCCATTTCTCCTTACAGTTCTATCAGTTTTTGCCTCACGTAGTTTGACACACTGTTGTTAGGTGCATACATGTTAAGAATTGTTTTATCTTCTTGGAGAACTGACCCCTTCACCATAATGTAATGCCTTTCTTTATCACTGATAAGTATCCTTACTCTGATGTCTGCTGTGTCTGAAATTAATACGGCTACTCGTTTTCTTTTGATTGGTCAATTTTTCTCCATCCATTTACTTTTTTTTTTATTGATGTCATAATAGTTTATAACGTTGTGAGTTTCCAGTTGTACATTATTATTTGTCAGTCACCATATAAATGTGCCCCTTCACCCCTTGTGCCCACCCCCAGCCATCCATTTACTTTTTAATCTATATGTCTCACTAGATTTAAAGTGGGCTTTTCTTTTCTTTTTCAAAAGATTTTTCATTATAGAAATTTTCTAACACATGCAAAAATACAGAATAGTATTATAAATCCCTAGGTGCCCATCACTCAGCTTCAACAATTACCAACTTGTTAGCAGGAACGGCCAATCTTGTTTCATCTACACTCTCACCCACCCCCATGAGTATTTTGAAACAAATATTAGACATCATATCACTTCATCCATAAATACTTTGGTATGTATCTCTAAAAGATAAAGATATTTAAAAAAAGATAACAATATTACTATTATCCCTAAAAAAATGAACAATTCTTTTAATAGCATAAAAAATTCAGCCCGTGTTTAAATTTCCCTGAAAGTTTCATGAATTTTTATTTCTTTCCTCACTCTTTCCCTTACCCTTCTTCCATTCCTCCCTCTTCCCCTGGCCCTCTTCTTTCCTTCTATGTTTTGTTTGAATCAGGAATTAAATAAAGCCTACACACTGTGTTTGGTTGATATGCCTCTTAAGTTTCTTCTAATCTAGGGCTGCATTATGTGACAATAGCAGCCACCAGTCACATGTGGTCATTTAAATGATTTAAGGTGAGGGGGCCGGCCAGGTGGTGTAAGCGGTTAAGTGCGCACGCTCCGCTGCAGCAGCCCAGGGTTCGCCGGTTTGGATCCCAGGCGCGCACCGATGCACAGCTTGTCAAGCCATGCTGTGGCTGTGTCCCATATAAATTGGAGGAAGATGGGCGTGGATATTAGCCCAGGGCCAGTCTTCCTCAGCAAAAAGAGGAGGATTGGCAGATGTTAGCTCAGGGCTGATCTTCCTCACTAAATAAATAAATAAATAAATAAATAAATAAATGATTTAAGATGAAAGATTCAGTACCTCAGTCACATTTATCACATTTCAAGTGCTCAATAGCCACATGTGACTAGTGGTTACTATGCTGGACTGTGCAGATACAGAACATTTCCATCATCACAGAAAGTTCTGCTGGAGAGTACCCATCTAAAAGGTTTCCTCCTTTCTCCTCCTTTTCTTGTTTTGTTTTACAATTTATTTATTGAAGGAACTGTTGTTTGTTCTATAGATTCCCAGAGCCTAGATTCTGATTTTTCTTCTTTCTCTTAAGTTGATTATTTTTTATTACTCATTTTGTTTCCTCTCTACTAGCCTAAAAGCTATATATTCTCTCACTATTCTTTTAGGGGTAGCACTATAACTTAACCTTCAGATACCTCAATTTCCACATCTATAATACATGGGTAACAACCGTACCTACCTCACAGAGTTGTGAGGATTAAGTTTATCTTGAAAACATTTAAAATAGTGCCTGGACACCTAGTACATTCTCTATAAGCACCTTCTATATTTACTATATTCCAGAGTTTTTGATATTGGCCAGATACCAATCATGTTTACTTTATTTTTGCTTTTCTCTTGTACAAATGGCAACTCTACACAGCGGAATACTTACCCGGCAGCGCAGGGACCGTTTGATCAGAAGATGTTTGTGACGAGGATACAGCTGTGAAGCACAGATTGGCTGGAAGTCAGGCTGTAAGAGGCGCTGCTGAAGGGTGGTCACTAGCATGCAAGGCAGAAACCAGGCTTAGTTTACAGCGACTTGCTCAAAATCAGACTTATATGAAATAAACACAGGAAACACCACCACCTTTGTGAATAGTGTTCTTCAAAAACCAGTAATATAGAAATTTGATAGACATTTTAAAGTTCTTCAATTACAGCTATTTTATTTTCTATGATTCATTTTACTACTAACAACTATGCCATTAAAAATCTCAGATCACAAGGCCTATAAGTATCAAAAGCAGAATTAAATGTGAAATAGAAACAAAGTAGAATCATGTATAACATTACCCTCTGTTAAATTTACTGGTCTTGTATAATAGTCTTCAGGTAGAGGTTCCACTTCATCCACAGCCTGAGCTGGCTCAATCTTGATCTCTTTCTGGTCCTCTCCTTCTTTAAGGCTAAAAGATAAAAAGTGGTACTTTCTCAAGGGTCCACCTGGTTCTCTTCAAAGTCTACGATATCAATAACTGAAGTATTCTATTGTAGATATTCTTTCTGTTTAGGTCTTTTCTAAGTATGAGAATCTTCCACCTCATTGGCAACTGTTATTTATTTTTAAATCATATTCCTTCAATATTCATTTTGATACCTGCTTTTCTCCTCAAAGCCATTTAATGTCCAAACTTACGAAAGTCCGGCAAGGGTACTGATGGTTGCACCAGCTCGTGGTCGCTGAAGCCTGGTTCCAAGACCATATTTGTCCTAAAGAGAGTTCAGAAATTCCTATTAGAAATTCTACCTTTATATATCCTATCTATCAAAAGAAAGAATTTGGGTGGGACAGCATGAGAAGCTCAGGGAAACAAGCAAAAAAAAAAAAAAAAAAAAGCTAATTTGAAAGCTTCCTTTAAAGAGGTAATTTGTAGCCCCACATCACCTTATTCTTAAAATAATAATAAAAGCACCAAACATGGAGATCGAAACTACATTAATACAGTAAAACTGAACGAAATGTGACTTTTTTTTTTCTTTTTTACTATTAATCTAAAAATATCTAAGCTATGGCTTAGACCAGAACTATGTGGAGTGTCTAAGACACACGACGACTGTCTTCTTGGAACACCAGAGATCATCTGCTAACTTCTTCAGGGTTAGCAAGAATCATAAAAGAGAACTTACCACTACATGAATAGTGTGTTGCTGTTGGCCCCAAAATAGCAGCAGGTTGCAACAGAGACAAAAAAATGCAGCATAAGATAGAAGCAAAGCAGGCAGGTTATACGGCAAAGTAAGAAGAATAATGCATTTAATTCAAATTCCTCTCCTAAATACACTAGTGCCTATGCTGATTATACCAATGAACAATTCAAAAAAATTCATTAAGACTTCACTGAAGTCTTTGGCAAATGCAGATGCTTTGCAAGTTTCAATGTTTTATTAAATTCTAAACTAGATATTTTTACATGGACCTTAGCAATCTTTATGGTTTTAATGACAACTAATTCTCATGTGGAAGCAGTATGACAAGTTATTTAACTCTTGAAGGTCTCATTTCCTCAACTGTACAATGAGGATACACTGTCTACTACACAGGATTGCTGTGAGGATTAAATAAAATAATATGTGTAAAGTACTTAGCACAGTGCTTGACACATCACTGCCATTCAATAAATGTTATTCATTAAATGCCAACCTGCTTAGCTCCAAGCAAACATACAGAAAACAAATTGTTCTGTGAAAGCAAATAAAACTTGAGGGGACAATAACAAAAGCACCAAATCCTAATCTCTTGCTTCTGATTGGCAGCATATAAACCAGGAGAGGATGACTTCCATAAATAATTCCTATTAAAAACTTCACTTGCATTTATTACTACTTATTTAGCCATGCAAATGCGCCATGCTAAAGTCAGTGTTTTTCAAACTGGAGAAATGTGGGAGGGTGCCAAAAATTATGACAACTAGAGCTGGGAAACCACTACCACCAGGATGTCAAAGCGGGGCTGCATGGGTAATATGAACAAAATCTACCACTTGCCCACCTTCTTCTGACCTTCTCTGATACCCAAAAGCTCTAAGAGTTCTGTGGTGCCTACAAAATTAAATAGTAGCCTCTTTGGGGAATAATCAGAAGAGAAAGGGGAGTGAGGGAGAAAGAAACACTAATGTTCTTAAAACTCAAAGAACTCAGAACTAACGATATGGCAAAAGCATGACTGCTGGACTTAAACACCTATCATCAGAGGAACTTTTCTTTGCTACTCATCATTCAGGAGTCTAGGGACAATGGCCACTTTCTGAAATGGTCACTGTTCTTATGCCACACAGGTCTTGTTCAGTGAGCTGCAAAATCCTTCTTGTACCAAGTCCTCACCGAAAAAGCCAAAGGCATATAGTTTCTACGCCGTGCCAGTTTCTTGCGATCTCGTTCAACCTTCTCTTTCTGAGCAAGCTGCTGGTAATATTCAATCAGCTTGTTCATCTGCAAGAAATCAGAGACTCAGTATCTGTTTCACAAAAAAGCTAATAGGAAAAATACAAAATTAATCAACTATACTGACTAAATACATAAACAATAGAGAAGATGAATTCTTAAGGTGGGCAAGTTTGCCCTTTTCTTCAAAGAGAATTTCTCTTCACTACATGATCTTCTTTTGGAATTGAAATGGAGCCTTTAAGTTAAACAACAGGAAGGAACAGGCAATGAAAAGGCATGGAAATTTCATGCTCTCTTTTCACTGCTTTTACTTCATTACTTATTTTCCCTCACAACCGCTCCTACTTTTTCAGCATGGCCACATGACCATCTACTTCTAAGAATGTGACATTTCATATTCTATTTTCTCCCCCATTCCATGCACATTTTCATTTTTAAAATATATTTTAATCATAAAAGTCATATGTTAATTGTGAAAAGTTCAAACAATACACAAACATAAAGAATAAAAGTGAAATTTCTTTTTTAACTCTTGTGCCCAAGCCCACGCTTCCCCCAGTTCAGATATCTTTCTTACACACTTACAGACACAGGTATGATAATATTATATTTTGCATACATTTTTAAAATCCTGCATGTAGACATATAACTTTGATACGTATAAAAATAAATATAGGCCTTTTTATTTTTCATATAAGGGAAAAAACCTATTTTATAACTTTCTTTTTTACTGAAAATATCATGAACTTGCGATCCAGTACAAATACATCAAGTACATCTTTCCATCCAGTAAAATCAGACCTACCTCACTGTTTTTAAAGGCTGAACCTTACTGCATAGCACAGATGTCCTATAAGGTATTTAAGCATTTCCTATGATATGACTTAAATGGTCCCCTGGTACCCAGTCCTGTCCTCTCAATTCAGCAATTATTTTTGGAAACGCCAATCTGATCCTGTCATCTCTTTGCTTAAAAACATTTAAAGGCTTTTCAAATTCCTTAACGCGGCCTACATGGCCCTGCACAGTCTGACCCCAAGGACTTCTCTCCATCTGTAATACTATGTTCCACTCTAGTCACACTCACCTTCTTGTCTACAACTTGCTTTTTTCTTCCACTTACAAGCTCTTTGCATATGCTGTTCCTCTGCCTTGAATTCTTTTCCTTCTGTGTGCTGTCCTTAGATCTTAGCATAATCCTCAGATGTGGACCTAACTAGTTGAAATTCCCCCTAATAAATGTTCACATGGCGCAATTTACCTCTTTCACATTACTTATCACAGTTTTTCCTTTATCTGGGGATTATTTGATTTTTGTTTTCCCATTAGACTTAAGCTCTATGAGGATAGGAACCATGTATCCCTATCGTTCAGCACAGTCCCTGGTAAATAGTAAATGCTCAATAAATGTTTGATGAATGAAAATATATATATATATGCATAAGTACAAGTATTCCTGTAGGTCAGAGTCTAGGAAGTAGATACTGCTGAGAGCTCAAGAAATCTGTACTAATTTACACTAACAACAGTATATGTGAGAAAGTCCAATTCCCTACACTCTAGGATACCTTCAGTATTTGTAATTTTTGCTGATCTCAACAGTGAATAATTATAAATTACAGTTTAATCTGCAGTTTGATCATAGATACTTCATTTCAATAGCATTTCATCATCTTCCCACTATTCTAGTTCCAGAGGCAAAAAAAATCAGCTCTAATACATACCACAGAGACCAATTCCCTACAAACTCCTAAAGGATACTCAAGTCATGATTCTATAAGCACCACTACTGAGTCCCAGAGCATCTTCTAAATTAGTAGTGTTTTCAGGACTTAAGATATCTATATATTGATGATATTCCTAAGAGAATTTGAGAACAAATGGAACTTTAACTCAGTTGGTGGGTATATGAAAAACAAAAACATATCATTTCCTTTTTCTGATTCATAACTTGAACACAGAACTAAAACCATACCTAGGTTTCTCTATTATCAGACTGGAAACAACTTGTCACTGTGATTTAATATCTGACAATAAGAAGCTCTTTCTTTGTGTAAGAGATACCAAAATACACATCATGGATTTCTAAGCACAGGCCACGTCCATTGATAAACTGGAAGATCTTCAGTCTTTTTCTCCATCTTATTTCATCCTCTCTCTGATGACCCTTTATACTTACCCGTTGTGTGTGAGGGTTTTCAGGTTCCTGCCAACCACCACTAGCTGCAAAATAAAGGAACATTAAACAAGACTTTCATAATTTGATAAACTTTATTTTCATAAAAACAGGCCATCTGCAGGCTACAAAATGAAATTTAAAAACATAAAATCACAGAACTTACAAGAAAGAGTCCTAGAAATTATATAGACCAGAATTTTCAGATTGAAAAATTTTCTTTAAATATAATAATGATGGGGCTGGCCTAGTGGCGTAGTGGTTAAGATTGCATGCTCCGCTTCAGCAGCCCAGGGTTCATTGGTTCAGATCCCGGGCATGGATCTATGCACCGCTTATCAACCCATGCTGTGGCAGTGTCCCACATACAAAATAGAGGAAGACTGGCACAGATTTTAGCTCAGGGCCAATCTTCCTCACCACCCACCCCCCGCCAAAAAAAAGATGACAATGATAACCACCACAACTGACACGTATAGCTTCTGCGCCAGGCATTTGAAATATATTACATTTCACTTGATTCTCCTAATAACTCTCTGAGGTAGGGACTCTTATTATTAGTCTCATTTTACAAATGAGGAAATTGAGGCTCAGAGATGTTAAATAACTTGCCCAAAGTCACACAGAAAGTGAGTGGTAAAGCCAAGATTCAAACTTAAGCAGTCTGACTCCAGAGACTCTGCTCTTATCTGCAACACTGCAACTCTATGTTCTAAGACCTTGGTTTAGAGAATTTCTTACAAAAGAAACAGCACAAATCATAAAGTAAAAGATTACTCCAGAAAGCTGAAAGTAAAACCATAATGAATACTTTCAACAAATGGTGCTGTAACAATTGGATACCCACATACAAAAAAAATGAACTTCGACCCTTACTTCACGACATACACAAAACTTACCCCGAAATGGACAACAGACTTATATGTAAGAGCTAAAACTATAATATTTCTAGAAGAAAATATAAGTGAAAATCGTAGTGACCTTGGGTTAGGCTAAAGTTTCTTCACTAGGACACAAAAGGCACAAACTATAAAATAAAAAATTGATACACTGGAGTTCATCAAAATTAGAAACTCGTGTTCTACAAAAGACACTGTTGAGAAAATGAAAAGGCAAGCCACAAACTGGGAGAAAATATTTGCAAAACATATATAGTCATGTGCTGCTTAATAACAGGGATACAGTCTAAGAAATGTGTCGTTAGGCAATTTCATTGTTGTGCAAACACCATAGATTGTACTTACACAAACCTAGAAAGTATACCCTATTACACACTTAGGCTATATGGTACTAATCTTACAGGACCACTGTCGTATATGCGGTCCATTGTTGACTATGTTGTTATGTGGCACATGACTCTATCCAGAATACAGAACTCTTACATAAACTCAATAAAAAGACAAAAAACTCAGTTAAAAAATGGGCAAAAGATTTATACAAACACTTAATTAAAGAAAATATATGGATAGTAAATAAGCATATTAAGAATATGTAAATAAAAACTATAACGAGGTATCACTACACACTCACTAGAATGGCTAAAATGAAGAAGACTGACAACATTAAAGGTTGTTGAGGAACTAGAACTCTCCTACATTGCTGGTGAGGATCTAAAATGGTATGGCCACTCTGGAAAATAGTTTGGCAGTTTCTAGTCAAGTTAAACATACACTTACTCTACGACCCAGCAATTCCACTCCTAGGTATTTACTCAAGAAAAATGAAAACATATATCCACACTAATACTTGTAGGCAAATGTTCACAGCAGCTTTATTCATATGAGCCCCAAATGGGAAAAAACCCAAATGTCCATCAACTGGAGAATGAATAAACAAATTATGGTATATCCATATGATACAATACTATTCAACAATAAAAAGCAAAAACATGGATGAACCTCAAAAGCATTACATTAAGTGAAAGAAGACAGATACAAAAGATGTGTTACAAGACTCCAATTACATAAACTTCTAGAAAAGGCAAAATTACAGTGATAGAAAGTATATTAGTGGTTCTGAGGGGCCAGGAG